GCACCCTTGGGGACCGCCGGGCTGGTGGCAGCGTCAATGGCCAGGGGGTCCCGGCAGAGAGGGCAGCTGTGCCCGCCAGATGCCCAGTGCTGGAGGCACAATCCCAGGATGATGTGCTCAAGAGACCCTGTCCTGGCACCTTGGGCAGAGGGAATGGGAGCCATGTAAGTGCCCTTGGCCCAGGAGACCGGGACGGGGATGATGATGATGATGACGATGGTGGAGGTGGGGAGCTCACAACCCATCTCCCGTGTGGCAGGTGGAGGGCATGGCCCCTGGCACGGGCTGGCCGGGGCTGGGCGCGGAGCTGCGCTCGCAGGTGGTGCAGGGCCAAAGGCAGTGCCAGGAGCTACAGGACAAACTCGCCGCCTCGGAAGCCACTGTGCGGGCACAAGCCGAGCAGCTGGAGAAGTACCACGTCCTACTCTGTGAGTTCAAACCCTGGGGCGGGATGGGGGGGCCGTGCTGAGCCCGGTGCATGGTGCTGTGTGTGGGGCAGGGATGGTGAACCCTGCCCAGGGGGACACCCTGGGCTGCCGGGGCTGCCCGGCAGGTGAACCCCACGCCCAGCAGCTCAGCAAGCAAGTGCAGGTAGACTTCCAGGACCTGGGCTATGAGACATGTGGGCGAAGTGAGACCGAAGCTGACCGGGATGAGACCACCAGCCCCGGTAAGGACAGCCAGCAGCTCCAGGGATCCCTCTGCCTTGCCTGTCTGGCATGGCAAAGCGACATGGTGCTCTGTCTCCTCTGCAGAGTGCGAGGAGCCAGATGTGTTCAGCGAGCCCAGCTTGGGCGAGGAGCCGGCATCCCTGTGCTGGCCAGGGATGCCTGGGGTGGGCAAGTCTGCCCGGAAAGCTGCGGGTCCAGCAGATGTGGGGGCCCTGCACCAGCACATCCAGGACCTCAAGGCGCAGCTACTCAATGCCAACAAGGTGATCCAGAGCCTGCAGCGCCGTGCCCGCTCCGTCTCCATCACCAGCGGCTACACCTCGAGCGCGGAGCATCCCCCACCGGGTCCCGTGGCCCTGGCCTCCCCGTCCCACAGCCTCACGGATGAGGACGAGGGCTGGCAGGCGGACGGCTGTGGCACCC